TTGTTTCCTGTCTCTCTCCATTCTCCACTCCATCCTCAAAATTCTGATAGGCAGTCCCCAGGACCTGATTTTTAATGAGTATTATATCCCTCAGATATGTGGGAGAAAATTTAAATAAACACAAGGACAAGGTATTGAATGTTACATTTCTACCACAAGGAATATAAATTTCATGGTAAGGAGATCAAAATAAATCAACCAGGAATATATCCGGGTAAAAAAAGATGGCATTCAACAAACGGTGCTGGAACAACTGGATATCCACATGCAAAGGAATGAAGTTGGACCCCTTTCTTACACTATACACAAAAAATTAAATCAAAATGGTTCACAAACCTAAATACAAGAGCTAAAATTAAAACCTTGAGTGCTGCAAATGATACCATCAAGAAAGTGAAAAGACAACCCACAGAATGGGAGAAAGTATTTGCAAATCATATATCTGATAAGGGACTTATATCCAGAATATATAAAGAACTCTTACCACTCAACAGTAAAAAAGATAAATAACACAATTAAATAATTAGCAAAGGATCTGAATATTTTTCCAAAAACATATAAAAATAAGAAATAAGCATGTGGAAAGATGCTCAACATCATTAGCCATTGTTGTTGTTGTTAGGTGCCATTGAGTCAGTTCCAACTCATAGTGACCCTATGTACAACAGAATGAAACACTGCCCGGTACTGCACCATCCTCATAATCGTTGCTATGTTTGAGCCCATTGTTGCAGCCACTGTGTCAATCAATCTCGCTGAGGGTTTTCCTCTTTTTCACTGAACCTCTACTTTACCATTAGCCATTAAACCTGTTGGCATCGAGTCAATTTCGACTCATAGCGACCCTATAGACAGAGCAGAGCCCTATTGGGTTTCCAAGGAGCAGCTGGCAGATTCAAACTGCCGACCTTTTGGTTAGCAGCCAAGCTCTTAACCACTGTGCCACCAGGGTTTCCCATTAGCCATTAGGTTAATGCAAATAAAAACCACAATGAGATGCCACTTCCCATCCATGAGGAGGGCTAAAATAAAAAAGATAATAACAAGTGTTGCCAATGATGTGGAGAAACTGTAACTCTCATATTGCTGCTGAGAACGTAAAATGGTGCAACAGCTTTGGAAAACAGTTTGGCAGTTCCTCAAAATGTTAAACATAGATTTACACATGACCTAGCAGTTCCACCTCTAGGTATATACCAAGAGAAATGAAAACATATGGCCACACAAAAACGTGTACATGAATGTTCAGAGAGGCATTGTTCTTAATAGCCAAAAAGAGGAAACAACCCAAATATCCATCAATTGATAAAATGTGGTAGATCTATACAACAGAGTATTATTTGGTAATAAAATGAAGTAACGATACTTGCTACCACAGGGACGAAACCTTGAAAATATTGTAAGTCACACACACACGCGTGCGCGCACACATACTGTATGATTCCATTTATATAAAATATCCAGAATAGGCAAATCCACAGAGATAGAAAGTAAATTAGTGATTGCCTAGGGCTGGGGAGTAACTGCCAATGGATAAGGGATTTCTTTGGAGGGTGATAAAAATGTTCTAAAATTAAATTGTGGTGATTACTGCACAACTTTGTAAATATATGAAAAACTATTAAATTGTATACTTTAAATGGGTGAATTGTATGCTATGTGAATTGTATCTTAATAAAGCTGTTTCAAAAATGGCAATGTATTTCATAGTTAAACTAAAAAGTTTGAAAACAAACCCTTAAATAGTAACTTAAATATTTAATTGCTATTACCCAGAGCCCAAGGTGAGGAGCTGACCCCTACTTAGTGATAGAAGACTGGAGACATAAAAACAGGATTTGAAAAACGGTAACATAGAGCTAGTATTCGCGATTTTCGATCAAAAGTTTAGTATTAGTACTACAGAGCCAGAATCAATACTATTTTAAAAATAGAACATACCCTAACATCTTCTGGACCTCTTTCCCTATCTGCAAAATTAGGACTTGCAGATGATGAAATAATCTTTAAAAGACAGAGAAAAAAGAGATGGCTGCTTTCCCAAAAGAATTTGCTAGGCAACAGCTTCTATATGTGTAGATATGCTTGGCCTTTCACAATTACAATGAAAAAGGAAAGGCACTCTCTTATGATATATGGGATTCGACTAACATTGCTTGTACTGTTCAGGATTAAAATAATAGTTACATAATGAAAAAGTCAAGCCATTGTGACTCCTCAAAGAAAAATAAGACTGGAAGAATAATTTGGTATCATAGCAGGGAAAGAAACCAAGTAATGATACACAAGTAACAGCTGGCAAAGGAAACCTGGTTAGGCAACACAGCTAAGCGGATTTTTGTGAAGGGGAGGAATTTTAGGGATGAGTGTATTAATCTTATATCTGCCATCAAATTACTGTTATTCTCTGTTCTTTAGTTCCTCTTCAGTTAAAAAACCTATCTCAAGAACAGCTAAGAATCTAATGTCTTAAAAAAACTACCTCAAAAGATGGAAAAAATTGTAAAGACATAATATGAAGAGGGATAGAGGAGTTTGGGGTTTACAGCTGAGTGTAGTTAAGGAAAAGCACTTATAGCCTGAGTCAAACCTCTTTAATGATTGTGATGGAAAAACAGGAGATAATAATGATGGAGGTGCATCCAGAATAAGGCATGGGATCTGAAACATCAAGTCTGTGCATGCTACTGCCTCTGAATGGAGTAAGGAAATAAGGTGAGATCATCACCTGTGAATATGAGGAGAGAAAAGCTAAAGACAAAGACAGTAGGTACTACTTGTACTACAGGATGTTCCAGTGATTGAATCTTGGGTCTGATAGTAAGATTTAGGATTATCTGACACAGAAAAGATAAGGACAAAAAATGAAAAACCCCTAATAATTACACAGGGAGTCAGGAAAAGCAACTAAAAATGGTGGGATAGTGCAGTGATTCTTAAACTCTTTTTTCCTAACTGTGCTCCCTTAGGGCAAAAGATACATTAATCTATCTACCCCACAAAAGCCCACTTTCCAGTGGAAAAAGAACTCGGTGATCATAATGAAGCTAGTTTTAGGGAGAACTGTAATTTACATTTGAACCAAAATATACATATTCTTAAAGTCAAGACACTAGAAAAACTACAGGCCAAAATTAAGTTGATATAAATATGTATCATTATTCGGTGGAGAGTTAACCTAATAAACAAACCACAACAAACTAAATTGACAACACTAAAGTCTATTATATAAAACAAGAACTTTGAAAATCACAACCAATTCAACACAACATTGATGGTGCGTTGCTAGGTTGCCAACTCCAACTTAGCAGCCAAATTTCTTAGTAGACTATTGAAACAGCATCCTCAGTAAACTCTAGTAACATTTTACAAAAAGCAAATATTAACAACTATTAATGCACTTAGTAGGACATTAGTAAGTAGCCCTTAGTTTCTGTAAAAGTAAAGACTATGAAATGAGGATCATTCACCCTCAACAGCTTAAGAAAATGGGAAAAGCATGGTGGTCATGATCATAATGTAACAGCGGAGATGGGAGTGTGAGATAGCCATAGTGTTGAAGAACTGATCCAAAAAGAGAGCCAAAAGTCACTTTAAAAGACAGAAGGCAAAACTTGAGGATGGTAATGTCCAGGGATGACACTGGGAAAACTGTGCTAACAATGCACCCTGGAGAAAGACGGGCAGGTGGAGCTGAGGCGTAGTCTCCAGCCTGGCCCTCCTTCAACCACTCTTTCATAACTCTTTTTTGAAGGGAGGAACAGTGACCTAAGACTGAAAGGATGAGGATGAGTTAGCTCTAGGGTAGTAGTAAACTGAAGGGTAAGGGGAAAGTAGTTCTAAATTGGGCTTAGTGTGTAATTATCAACAAAAAGGTAAGGTAGAGTATAATCCCCAGCTGAGGCAAAACAACAGTGGTTAAGAGTGCAGACTCTGGTAACTAATGTCACTGACCAATTTTTGTAGAAATTGTCAAACAGGAACCTAATTTGCTTTGTAAACTTTCACTGAAAACAATAAAATATTATTTCTTTTTTTTTTAAAAAAAGTGCAGACTCTGAATCCAGACTGCCTGAGTAGGAATCCTGATTTCTCCAATTTATTTTCTCTGCGACCTTGGGCAAGTGCTTAACCGCTCTGTGCTTCAACTGTAAAATGAGAGTAATAATAGTACCTACCTAGTAGGATTGTTCTGCGGTTTAAATAAATGTGTAAATCACTTAACATAATGTCTTGCCCTGTATATAAGAAGCACTACCTAAGTTTTGTTAAATACATAAATTAGGGTAGGTCAGGGTTTGTTTTGACATCTCCAAATAAAACTGAGCTGTGAGGGCAAAGTAACGGTAACGGGGCGGGAGAGGGGGCAAATTTTTCTCAGCGATGAGAATACCATGAGGCTGCACCTTTGGAAAGAGTCATCCTCCTGGCAGGGTTTGAGAGCACCCGCTCCCAGGAAAGGGGCGCGGGTTGAGGGAAACTTCTTTCTTTCCAGAGCCGAGGATTTTCAGGGGCTCGTTTTTGAGAAGTGGTTGTGATTTTAAGGAGGCAAGAGTATCATTTCTAAGCAAGGGACCGTGGGTTGAAATATTGTTTTGTCTGAAGAGCAGAACTTATGTCTAAGGCAGGACAAGGATTCGAGTTGGAGAAGAAGGGTGATGTCCCCAGGGGGAAGGTCTACTAAGAGCCACCATCTGTCGGGCGCTCTCTAGTTGCCCGGCGTTGGGCTAGCCTCGAAGGGAGATGAAGGCTGCCCGGCCCAAAGCAGGCAGGAGGTCCATCCTGGGGACCGGGCTGCGGGGAGCGGGCCGGGAAGGGACCTCACGTTGGGGACCCGGTGCGAGACCCGCCTCACCGAGGGCGGAGGCCGCTCGCTGGGCTCCCGAAGGTAGGGGCAGACGCCGGCCCTGCGGGAGGCCGGCCGAGCAGACCGAGCCGAAGGAAGCTGCCCGCTGGTCCTGCCAGTGCCCGCCCGTCGGTGGCCCCGGTACCCGGAGTACCTGAGCGTGGGCCCGATGCAGGCCGTGTCGGTACTCTCGATCTCTCGCAGGATCCGCTCGTGCTCCGCCGCTGTCTCAAGGCTCTCCGCCTCCGCCATCTTACCCCGCTCCATAGACCGGGGGCCCACGGCAATGCGTCCCCTCAGCTCACCTTTCGCTCCCTCACACTCCCTCTCTCACCGTGGGCTCCACCGCCGCCCCAGCCTCCGACTACCCGCAGGACGACCCCTCCCCCAGGCTCGGCCCGCCCCCTTGCGTCACCGCGTCCGCCGTGTTCCACGCAATGCATGCTGGGATTTGTATTTCTCTGGGCGACGTTAGCGTGAACGCCGTTCATTATTCATTGATTCCACAAATATGCTTTGAAAGCCTACTATAAGCCAGGAACAGCGACACTTCATATAAAGGAGTAAACAAATCAGGCAATGACACTGATTCCACAAATTCTTGTTTAACACCCTTGCTACAAAGTGCAAAAGGCTCCGTAGGCGCAAATGATGAGAGAGGAGCCCCGGTTGCGCAGCGGTTAAGCCCTCAGCTACTAACCTAAAGGTTGGCGGTTGAACCTACCAGCCACTCAGCGGGAGAAAGATGTGGCAATCTGCTTCTGTAAAGATTTACAACCTTGGAAACCCTATGGGGCAGTTATATTCTGTCCTATAGGTTCACTATGAGTTGGATTCCACTTGACAGCACTGGGTTTGGTTTTGGCTTTGGAACTAGGTTTCTGTAATCCATTGGGGAGAAAAGCTGAACAAGCCCAAAACTATGATATAAAACAGAATGTGTCAGTAAGCAAGTTCAGAGAATAGAGCTCAGGGATCACATCTGGCTTTGAAGACTTCAAAGAGAATTAGGGCCTATAGAAGGTTAAAATGGGTGACTGGAAGGTGTGAGGAGAATCCAGAGAGCCAGCAAGAACTCATTTTCACTGGCATGTAGAACTGTAAGTAGTAAGAGATGGACTGGAAAGGTATTTTGGAGAAATAATGAGAAAAGCCTTAAATACTGGGCTGAGAAATTTGTACTTTATTCTAATGGTTCCACTGGTCCAACAACCAAGTGCATCAAAAGCACCTGGGCAGTGTTTTGTTTTGCATTGTTTTCTAATACAGACTACAGATGTTACATCTGGAGATGCTGATCTAGGCAACTCCCCAGATTCGAATTTAAAAACCAAATTTATTAAACACTATTTGAGTTTTACATAACACAATGGGAAATCATTGAAGGTTTTCAAGAAGAGGAGTGACACAATCAGAACCTTGGCATTAGGAAACTTGATCAAGAGCAACTGTGCAGCAGCCATTTAAGATACAGCTATTGGTCTCTTCCCAACTGGGGCAAAGAAGAGTGAAGGAAACCAAAGACTCAAGGAAGAAATTAGTCCACAGGGCTAATGGCTCATGCAAACCACATCCTCTTCTAGCCTGAGACCAGAAGAACAAGGTGGTGCCTGGCTACCCCGACGGACCATTCTGACCAGGGACAGAAATAGAGGGTCTCTGTTAGAATGGGAGAAAAATGTAGAACAAAACTCAAATTCATAAAAAAAAGACCAGACTTACTGGACTGATAGAGACCAGAGGAACCCCTGAGACTATTACCTTAAGATACACTTTTAAACTAGAACTAAAGCCACTCCCAGAGGTCACCTTTCAGCCAAACAATAAGTTGGCCTATAAAATAAACAATAAAACCCGTGAGGGATGTGTTCCTATAAATAATCAACTATACAAGACCAAATGGTCAACAAAGATGAGAAGGCAAGGAGGGGCAAGGAAACTGGATGGATGGAAATGGTGAGAGCGCTGACATATTACAGGGATTGTAACTAATGTCACAGAACAACGTGTGTATGAATTGTTGAATGGGAATCTAATTTATTGTGTAAAATTTCATCTAAAACACAATAAAATATTCATAAAAAAAAGAGCAAGGGTGCAAGATGGACACATATAGAGAGTTTGGAGATAGGAAGATGTTACAGGAGATAAGGCCTAGACTAGGGAAGTGACAATGAAAATGAAAAAGAATGGACAAATAAGAAAAACTTTGTAAAGGAGGAGTTGGCAGGATCTACTAGATACAGAGAAGGAAAAGGTTGGCTATTGCTCCAAAGTTTAGAGCCAGAATGACTGGGAGAATATTGTTGCCATCAACCAAAAAAAGGATATCAGAAGAACAAAACTGGAAGTTGAGGTTAAATAAATTGTGCTATAGCCATACTGTCTTAGGCTGGGTTCTCCTGAGAAGCAAAACCAGTAAAGCGTATAAATATATATAGAGAGAGATTTATATTAAGGAAATGGCTCACGCAGTTGTAGAGGCTGGAACATCCCAAGTCCATGGGTCAGGCTGGAGGCCTCTGATTCATGTAGCCACAGGGGCTGGTGAACACAAGATCGGCAAGTCAGACAGCAGGGCTCTGGCTCACAGGCCACAAAGACAAACACATCCCAAGACTGACAGGCAAGACAGCAGGTAAGCTGCTAGCTGAAGTCCCAAGAACTGGAGGTCAGATGAACAGGAGCCAGCTGCAGGATCCAGAGCGAGCAAAAGCCAGAGAGCCTTGCCAGAAAGTCCACCTATATTGGATGCAGGCCACACCCTCAAGGAAACTCTCTTTCAACTGATTGGCTACTCACAGCAGATCACATCATAGAGGTGATCACATCATCATATGACTGCCAAACTACATCATAACTGCCAAACCACTGAGAATCACAGCCCAGCCAACTTAACACACAATGTTAAAAATCACACATGGAATGGATGATTCTGCAATCATTCAAAAGAAAGAGAAAAGAGTCTATATTCAGATATGAAACTGTCTCCAAATTGTAGTTGAGTGGAAAAAAGAGCAAGGTATGGAACAGTTTACAGAGTATGTTCCCATTTGTTTTTTTAAAAGACTAAATATTCATATACATGCTTATAAAAAACCCATTGCTGTCAAGTCGATTCCAGCTCGTAGTGACCTGATAGGACAGAGTAGAACTGCCACATAGAGTTTCCAAGGAGCAGCTGGTAGACTTGAACTGTCGACCTTGTAGTTAGCAGCCAAGCTCTTAGCCACTGTGCCACCTGGGCTCCTACATGCTTGTGTATACATAAAATATTACATAAGTAGAATATTTCTGAAAGCATACCCAAGAAACTGTTACCAGTAGTGGCAGTCAGGAGAGGGATTGGGAGGAAGGGGTCTGGAGTAGGAGGGAGGTAATCTTTAATTATGTATCATTTGCACTTTTGAACTCTCTCCCTTATACACATATTACTTTTTCTATAAAAACTGGTAGTTATTAGCTGAAAGTGTATTTTAAAAATAAACCAGTAGTCAGGAGAATAGGTCACAAGTCCTGGTTTGCCAGGAACTGGGAAAGTTGCTAAACCTGTTTCTAGATAATCTCGGGCTATCCTCATTTTATTTCATTACTCATGCTTAAGCAATTTCAGACAGATGTTGAGGGGTAAGGAGAGTACGGAGACTTTTATATTTTTAAAGATCTTCTTGAAAAAAAATTACAGACAGTCCCTTCAGGCACTCATTTTAACATCTCAGCAAAAACCTTTTCATTCATCACAGGAAGCAGAATAGTGTGGAGACCAGATAGAGAGAGAGAGAGAGACAGAGAGTGGTGGTTGCACTAGCTTCTACTACTGTCAGCAGTTTTTTAGAGCCCCTACAGAGACCAGAGGTCCCAGATCTTACTAACAAGGCTGTGTGAGTCTGAAGTTACTGGTGTAACTCGAGGGAGATGGCCTGCCCTCCAAATAGAGAAGATGTTAGGTCAGTGTGGAATACCAGAAAAGCACTGCACTGAGAGTTGGGGGCCTTTGATTCAGTTCTGGCATGAGTAGTTAAAATTTACTGAGCACATTCTGTGTGCCAGGCACAGTGTACAAAGTAAGCACTTCACGTGCATCAACCTCATTAAATTCTTAAAACAATCCTTTGCATTAGATATTATATGTCCTATTTTACAGATGAGAAGGCTGAGAAGTTAGGTAATAGACCCTAAGTCTCACAGCTAGTAAGTGACGAAGCTGCTACTGAAACTCAGCGCCATCTGATTCCAAGGCCCATTTCCTACCAGTAGGCCATACTGTCCCACCGTACCCTCCACTGCCTCTAGTCTATCGTGTGAGCTTAAGTAAACCATTCTGCCTCTCTGCATCTGCTTCCACCTTACTGTAATGGTATGTACTGTTTCTCAGGCCTCTTCCAAACTACACCTTAAAGCTCTCTTTACAGAACCACCTCTTTCCACTTACTCACTTTAAATGAACCGGTTTTCTCATCTCCTACATCACTAGATATAAAGTGTCAGCATTCCCAATGCTCTGCACTGCCACTGCTGGACTATTGTTACAGCACCCTGATTCCTCAACTCTCCTCTGAAGTCTAGGACATCTAGTTGCGCCATGGTCATCTACTAATGTACATAATCCTGAGAGATTTTACCACTTGGCTCGTAGTTTTCCTCTGCACCTCATTCTCTGCCATCATCCTCAGACACTTTGACATCAACATGGGTGGCCCACTCAAAACCCTGATCTCATGGATTCTAACTATCCCTGCGCTGATCCTCAAGCCACACAGGCAATACATTCATGACCTCACTTTTTACCTTAAGATCTCACAAACACTGCTCTACCCTCAAGACTACAAACTCTAAAATTCTTTTCTCTGCCTATAATCCCTTTTCCATCTACCTCTTCCTCTAATTTCTAGGGGACCCACGCTTTAGTATAACCCTGATCTTCATCCCTGATTCATATGTAGTCTATAAGCATCTCTTCTCTCCTATCCTGGATTTTGTTCTACTCAGTCTTCCTATTCAGAGATATGTGAGTTTGATTCCTATCTCTGCCATTTACAAGCTGGATGAATTTGGATACAAGTTACATGGCTTCCTTAAGCTGCAATTTTCTCATATATAAACTGAATTTTATAATATATACCTTAGAAAGCTGCACAATTAGGAATAATTAATGTAAGAGACCTAAAACGGGGTTTAGCAGAATAAATGTTAGCTGCTACCCAAATGGATTCCAGGAACCACCAATTTAACTAAGCTTTCTCTAATGCTCTAGCTTCCTTTAACATCTTAAACGTTCACCATACCCACATTGCCAGTCTTTCCGTTTCTATTGTAGCTGGGATGGAGGAGAGGGGAGAAACTTTAACTATGACAACTAGC